TTCTGACCCAGGCCAGCATTAACCAAGGAACAGGAGAGTGCTAACGAGCAAGCCCAGAATTCATATTTGGAGATGCACCTGGTCGCCTCCAGCCTGGACTGCCCATTTCCTCCTCTCCTCCCTGGGAGGCAGCCTGGGGAGTCCGGGGGTCCCCCAGGCCAAAGTGCAGGAAGGGGGAGTCTTGAGCCAATAGGTTGGCTCTCCACAAGCCAACATCTACTCCTGGTACCAGGAGCCCCCCGGCGCCCCCAGTGACCCGGCTGAGCGCCCTGCGATGGGGCATCCCACGGGAACCCAACTCACACATCCTTGGCGGGCAGGCCCCGTCCTTCCACCACTCTGAAATGCAGGGCCGTGTTCCGGGCCATCCCCAGCCCGAACTTGGGTCTGTCCTCAGCGGCGGGGCTGATCGTCCCTGGGAACCATCGGCTCGGCTCCGGGGTCCTGGCCGTCTCTCGCCGGGGGAGTTTGGAGCTGTGCCTCGGGGCGCGCTGCTCCTGCCTCGCCTCGGGCTTCTGCCTGGCGCTGAGCAGAACAGCAGCTGGCTCGCGTCGAAACGTGTCTTGCCAGTGCACCGCCCGGCAGGTGAAACCGCCCAGCCCGTGCCAAAGCCGCCAGGCGCCGTGTCAGGTTCAGTTCAAAGCGCCCAGGCGGCTTCTCCGTGCCTCGCCGGCGTTGGAGCCGGCTGCCCGAGCGGCACCGGGAGCGGCCCGAGCAGCACCGGGAGCGGCCGGAGCGCGAGCTGCTGCTAGAGGCTCCGAGAGACGCTCTGGCAGCGGCAGAATCGTGTCTGCAGCCACAGGTTGCCCGGGGAGCGCTACACCCGCTAAGCAGGCGGAAGCCAGCAGAGTGGCGCTCCCCTGCCTCCTAGCGGCAGCCAGGGGAAATGCTCCCTTCCCGGCCAAAGGGGGAGCGAGGGGGCAGCGGTCCCCTTCTGCACCCTCCTACGTCAGCTTCGGTGAATTAACATGCCCTTCAAGCTGCACCTGCCTGCAAACGAGCCTCTCCCCTGGGAAGTGTCTGAGGCTCACAGCCTGGGCTTGGCTCACTAAGTAGAATCGGGGCTTGTATTCCAAAGGCTGGGGAATCACCCAGGTTTAAAATGACAGAGCCAGGTTGGTAGCAGGACTGGTCGCCTCCATCTCTCTGCCCACTCACCTGCCCCACTCCCAGGCTTGCAGTTTGCATTGCCATCACACCAGCATTTCGCCTGGGTGCTGGCAGCCAGCAGAGAGTTTGAGACAAGCTGGCACTGTACTAATTACCCCTGAAAGGGATTAACAAAGTCCCAAATGCCACCCCAGCCGGGCAAAGCAGAACACTCATTAGCTCTTCCCATCCCCTCGTGGGTCTCCCTGGGCACCGCCTAACTCCATGCCACTTCATTTCACCTTCTCCCCAGGGAACTCAAGCTGCTTTATAAACACACAAAAAAGCCCCACAGCCCTCTGTGCAGCATCAGTATCCCGATTTTATAGATGGGGAAACTGAGGCACGGGACAAGGCCATGTCCTGCCCCAGAGCAGTGGGAGAGCTGGGAACAGAACCCAGGTCCCCAGCTCAGACCTTATTCACAAACTATCCTCTCTGCAAGAAAAAAGGGGCCAGTTTCTGCCCTCGGTTGCACTGGAGTCATCCCAGCAAAGCTCCTGCTGCGTTAACCAGGAGTTGCTGAGGATGGAATTTGGTCCAGGAGGGAGGAAGCTCAGGTGCATTTATTGAAGAACACTGCTATGCAGTCAGCGATCATGTGGGGCGATAAGCTCGCCAGTGATGGACACAGATGGAATGTGTGCAGCCTTAAGGCCCTAGCTAGAGATCAATCCGGATGGCTCTCGGTCAGCCGAGATTGGCCGTGCTGATGATGGAGGAAGTCCAGGGATGTGTGTATGAGGGAGTGGGAGGGTTATTACCCTTGGTGTGCACCATCCCAGTGTTTCTGCTGCAGCTCTCACTGCCCTACGCTCTGCCTCTGCATCTGATACTCATAAATCTACCAGAAGAATAGCTCCTCTGCCCACCTCCACAGCCCGCTCTGCCATCTGCCGTGTGTTGGAGCTGAGTGATGACAGGTGGACTCTGATTCAATGCCAGCTTACCCCGCTGTAAGTGGGGAGTAACTCCACTGGAGTTACTGGAGTCATGCTGAGGTGCAGCAGGCCAGGGGAGAGAATCAGCCCTGTGTCTCAATGTGATTTTTATCTCCTGAATTCTTCCTGCCCCACATCAGGTCTGCAAAATGGGGGGGACGTTATATAGCGTGTGTGCTGGGAATGGAAGCTGGATAAATAGGCAACTTCTACAAGTACCCTCTCAACAGCCTGATCCAAAGTCCATTGCAGTCAATAGAAAGGCTCCCACGGACTCCAGTGGGCCCCAAATTAGTACAGGGGCAAGGGTCACGGTGGTAAATTACACCAGTGGTCAGAAACCCAACTCCGCCAGGGACAGATCAGCCCAACAGAAGTTCATATCAATCTTGTCTGCCATAGAATCATAGAATATCAGGGTTGGGAGGGACCTCAGGAGGTATCTAGTCCAACCCCCTGCTCAAAGCAGGACTAATCCCCAACTAAATCATCCCAGCCAGGGCTTTGTCAAGCCTGACCTTAAAAACCTCTAAGGAAGGAGATTCCACCACCTCCCTAAGTAACCCATTCCAGTGCTTTACCACCCTCCTAGTGAAAAGATTTTTCCTAATATCCAACCTAAACCTTCCCCATGCAAACTCCTAATTAAAGAACCCCCTGCCAAGTCTTGCGGAGACCTTAATAAATACTAGAAGAGCTAATCAAACTCCTACTCCTCTGTCCCATAGATTTCACTGTCATTGCTAATTGCTACCGGGATAGATTGTCCCCTCCTGTGGGGCAGGAAACCTTGAGGAGCTAAGCTACCCCAAGCCCCTTCTCTGCTGCTGTGACCCAGAACAGACTTCAAGAGACAATGCCTGGAGCCACCAAGCAGCACCATCTGTGTTGGTCATTCTGGGAGCCAGAGAGAACCAAAGGGTCTGTGTGTCTCTAGTAGCCTCAACAAGCATCCTCCCTCCCCTTTGTATTCGTAACAACTGAGTCCATCTTGTGTCTTCCTTATCCCAAGGGGCATTTGGGATGCAACTCCCCCATCCCCACACATCACCAGAATCCATGGGGATGGATCCTGCTGAAAGACTTGCCTTCTTTTGCTGTCAGGGCCCTATCCCACCCTGACAGCATGGCTCCACTGAGAGTCCCGCCCTACAACCTCAGCTGCAGTCTGATGGCAGGGATCAGGCCCACATATATTTTTGACTCAGTAGTATTCCTCTGACTATTGAATAAGGATTGGCCCCTTGTACTACAGTGTGTAGAGCTATGAATTGGCAACACCCTGGGTTTCTGTGTCCTGCGCTTTTAAATTGCTAAGAACTCTGTCTTTGGAGCCAGCAGTTGTGTTCCTGCGGGAGATGCACACACTGCGCTCTCTCTACCTAGAGAAGTTCTTTAGACTAAAAACACATGGCTGTTCTTTGTGTGTGCCTGGACTAAACGCACATAACTTATTTGTCTCCCTACTGAATTCCTGGAAGTCAGCCGTGGATGTATTTTCCTTGTCAGTCAGTAGCCCAGCCCAGTGATTTCCCAATAGCATTTGGCACATTTCAGCTCACTACCATAGTAATACAGCACCTTAGATTGGTATGCCACTGTGCGACTACAGCAATCCGGATATAAAGAGATTACAACTATTTACACACAGATATCTTGCATCAGCAATGATGCAGAACAAAACAGAGCAAAGTCTATGAATGGGCAGCAGGTGCTAGATGGGAAACTGACAAATCTTTCTTTCAAAAGCAACTCTTCCAGAGTGCATTTTATGCTCATCGCAATTAACACTGTTATTAATTATGACTAAGGACCCAAGCATGAAACAGGATGTTTGTTTCTTCCTTCCCTCCTGCTGTATATTCCTTTCCTAAAGTCAGAGAGCCAAATTCAGAGATAGCTCTAACCTGGAGTCATTTAGGCTCTGATTCTCAAAGGTATTTAGGTGACATCAGTGGGAGTTAGGCACTTAACTACCTTTGAAAATGTGGCCCTTACACCTCCTTCGGCCCCTGTCAGCCCCAATCCCCAGCATACAGCTCACATCTTCAGGTTGCTGTAATGGACCCAGCACATTCTCCTTGTGCTGACAGTCATCCCTAGCGCAGCTGCAGGGATGCCAGCCACTTGAAATCTAGTTAAGAAAAAAAAAATGAATTGTTTCATTGCACTGGATCTCCCCCTGCCAATTTTTGTGGCTTTATAAATCACATTTTCTGTTTTAAGAAACTTTTGTATTTTCCCCACTTCCTAGAAGAAGGACACACAAGTGAGATGAAATCGCCAATAGCAAAATAGCCCAGGTCATTATACACAAAGGCCCAGATTTTCAAAAGTGGCTACCGATTCCAGGCTCCTTTTTTGGCAGTTAGGAGCCTAAACACCTTTGTGAATCTAGACCTGAGCTCCCACAACTGCAGCAGAAATCAACAGAAGCTCCGGATGCCCAGAATGTCTGAAAAATCAGGCTCAGGTTGAATCAGGTTGAGTGCCCCAAAACTGAGATCTTTTGTAAGGGCACCAAGCAAACAAAGGGAAAGAAATGCAGTTTTTAAGTGGCAAGTGTCTCTACCTGAGACAATCCAGTCATGAGAAGGCATTGGCCGATCAGTGCAGATAAAGATTTGTGCATGCAAGTATGCCATGTAATACAGAACAGGGGATGAGGATTCCTTAACATGTCACAATATATAGCAGGATGGGTTCTAAATCAAACAAACATTCTCCAGGTGTAGAAATAATCTTTAAAAAGCAATCGGCTAACAGCACTCTGCATATTTAAGATGGGCTAGGGATGCAGCCATAGACCTGCAATGAGTCAATACCGTGGCTTGCCCTGGTCCATGACTGGGGCTTCTATGCTATGGTAATATTACTACTACATAAAAACATGAGAATGGACAGTCTGGGTTAGACCAAAGGTCCATCTAGCCCAGTATCCTGTCTACCGACAGTGGCCAATGCCAGGTGTCCCAGAGGGAGTGAACCTAACAGGTAATGATCAAGTGATCTCTCTCCTGCCATCCATCTCCACAAATTAATAATAAATACCAAAGCCAGCAGTGAGCCAGTCTTGTTAGTTTATCCCAGTGATTTATGGGAGGAAGGCCGGCCCAGTTGTTAAGGCACTAGGCTGAGAGTCAGGTTCAGTTCCCTGTTCCACTAGACTCCTTGTGTGAGCTGTACAATGGGGATAACAGCACCGCCCTGCCTGGAAGATTGTGAGTTGCCCAGATAATCCAATAGTGAGGGCCAGAGAAATGGGCTCAGCGCTTAGGATCACATTTCAGCGGCAGACCAGAGCCATTAACTCCAGTACTGGCACACAGGGCTCTGCCCATACAAATCTGACTGCCGGCCCTATCTATGCCGCCTGTTTCTGTAGTGTCTGGGCACCTGCCACTCTTTCGGATATTATCTGCCCATAAGGGTCCAATGGGGGCACCTGGTGTTATGGCACGCTGGGGAGGAGGGGGCCATGTCACAAGGGAGCCACTCACAGGGTCCTGCAGCTGCAGCCTAAGTTAAACCAGGTGCTGTAGCAATCATGCAAAGCAGACAGGAGAGAGGAGAGGGAGCCCCCCGGACAGGGGAAGGAACAGACTCGTTTACAGGGGGCTAGGCTTTCCCTTGCTGCCTCCCTCCTGCAAATAAATCCGCATGGTTGGGACGGTCTCGTGGCTCCACCTTCCCTGTACGAGATGTTCTCTAGACGCTCCTGCAGCGACGCGTGGAAGGGAAACTTTAAAGGGCTCCGGGATTCCGAACGCGTGACCATGGCAACAGAACGTTGTGCTGACTGTCTCCTTAGCAACGGGCGAGCGCTGCTCCCTGCCTTGCCCTTTTGCAGGCGCTGGGACGGCAGCTGGGGGCCCACGGCTCCCCATTCCCTGAGCCGAGGGTCCCTGCGCGGGGCTGGGCCACGATGGCTTTCGAACTGGAAGAATATCTGCGGGCAGCTTTCCGGGACAAGCTGCTGCTGCCGTGAGTAAGATCCTTTCCCCCCTACTGGCAGGTAGCTGCTTGTGTGCGAAGGGGGATGCACTGGGCACCTCTCCGCTTGTGGGAACCCGCATAATGCTCTATTTGTAGAGCCAGGCCCTCTGTAGAGCTATGAAGGCACTGGCCCATCTCTGCGCAAGAAGCATGGTAGGGGTAGGCCACTTTTGGCTCAGGCCCTCGGGGAAGTAGACTTCTTGCTGATACTAATGGCAGTGGGTGTCTTTATTTGGGTAGCTGGAGGGATGGCTAATTCTTGGGTTTTGTGCCAGCAAGAAAACACTTAACAGATGCTTCCTGGTGTGATTTTCGGTAGCCTGTTCTAACCCTGCTTGCTGATCAGGGCTGGAACTCTGCCAGCACCCCACAGGGTCCCCAGTAGAGCTGTGCGGAGAAAGCAGATTCTGTTTGGTGGAGGATTTCAATATTACAGAATTTGGTTTCATTCCAATTCGGAACAAAAACCCCAACAGCTTTGAAGTTCTCCATGAAAGTGAACTTTCAACTGCTAGACGAGGGCCTCATCCTCCCTGATTGAACTAACCTCGTTATCTCTAGACTGTTCTTGCCTGCATATTTATACCGGCCTCTGGAAATTTCCACTACATTCATCTGACGAAGTGGGTATTCACCCATGAAAGCTTATGCTCCAATATGTCTGGTAGTCTATAAGGTGCCACAGGACTCTTTGTCGCTTTTTGTGAAAGTGAATGGAGCCCTGCCACAGCGCCCCAAACCCTGGAAGCCCTGGAGACCTGGCCCTGTGGCAGGGGGCTGGGCTGTCTGGCTGCCCTGGAGATGCTGACCCTACAAAGTCCTGAAATTCCACCTGACACAGTAGTCTGCATGGCTGGCTGCTCCAGGGTGGTGAACCCTGGAAGCCTGGGCTTAGTTGGCAGGAAACCAGGCAGGTTTCTGCTGGAAGCCTGCCTGGGTGCTGCCGGTACTTTGGTGTAATCAGACTGGCTCTGCAAAACATTCCAACTTAGCCAAATCAGCAAATTCCACACAGTTATTGAATGTTTCCAGCCAACTCTCATGATTTTGTCATGAGTCTCATGATAATTATTGTTTTCCTTAAAGCCCCAGCTCCTGGAGTCAAGTGGATATGTGATTATTTCAGCCTTCATTCTTATAGAAAAAGTAAATTTCAAGCCCTTGTGGCTGTGGAGAAAGCTTCAAAATGTGACTCCAGTGCACCTAAAGGTTCAAAAAGCAGAAGGCAAATAAAAAGAACCCCAAACCTATTACTTTTACATAATCTCATGATTTGAAAGCCAGTTTCATGATTTTTGGTGAGCCTGACTCATGCTTTTTAAACATTTGGGGTTGGCAACACAGGGGGTGCAAAGTTGAAGATGGAACCAGGGTCAGAGGAAGTGAAAATGGGGCACTAGAAGCACTCCACAGAAAAGCACAAACAAAGCTTCATCAGGGTTTTCTAGGAGTGTTGCTTCCTGCTCCTGGGGATGTGGTGAACATTTCATCTTGTACCAAAAGAGCTGCTGTCTGCACTCAGAAATCAGAAGGCCGGTTACAGAAAAATTACAGCACAGGTTAGGAGCATGTGATGATCCCATCTGCTGCCTGCACACGCTTCCCTTGGCTGTACCGTGGTGTATTTTAAGCAATTCCCTAAGCCATGCCCACACTTCATATTGTACATCCATGTATGTCAAAGCAAGGAGGCGGAGTATCACGGCCCTCGTTTTACAGCTTGGTAAACGAAGGCCCAGAGCCCTATCCAACTGCTCCCCGCCCCTTGACAGGACGCCCAGAACTCCCGACCCATCCAACCCCCTCTGCTCCCTGCCTGCCTC